GATAATTATAAGATGAATATTATTTTGAAGCTTTAAAAACCACAAAAGTGTAGAAAAAGATATACACAAGCATCACTGAAAGTAGATCTCTTGAACAAAATCTTCACTGTGAGTTTCAAATGTTACATTATGCACGTTCTGTGAGGATCTGCGTCACGGCTAACAGGACGTCCTTGACACGAACTAGGCTACGTGACAAAGTCACAGTGTGAGTGTGTACAAAGGGGCATGAAAGGCTAGTCTCATCAAATAGACATCACCAATTGCAATTTGCGACATGCCTCAGGACAGTGAAAATTGGAATTTGGTCTTTGACTATTCTCAGTCACTCTCTGTGATGGCACTCAAAGGGATGATTCATCGCCAGTGTTGTCTGTAAGTGAGCTCATAAAAAGGAGCTACAGTATACACTTGTTTTAGGGTTGTGAATGCCTCAGGTGAAGTGGGATTCAGAGGGTCTCGTGTCTTCGGCTTAACAGCACTTCAACTTCATACAATTGAACCACGTCAGCAGTGATCATTTCGGATAGTTGGGGGATTTTAACAGTGAGATTAGATCAGGACAAGATATCAGGAGATGTTTGCTCAATATGCCTCCTTTCAGTCTGTCCACTTCTACCCGATATAATCTGGAGACTACAGCTAGAGTTAGTAGAGACATAATATTGCTATTTAACACTTTACTTTTACTGCATGGTTCAGAGAACAGATTGTATTTGTCATAAAAGAGTTAGAGCACATGACTGTTTGATCTTTGGATCTATGTTAGTGTCTTATCTGTCTTAAAGCAATTCAGAAAGTTAACTATACAGAACTGCATACCACAAAACTTTGATTTAGTTTTATGGTATGCTGTTTTGGATATAATAGTCTTTTGCAAGCAAACCGGATAACTGACCACTGTTCATATAAAAGGGAGAGATAAAGAAGAATTCAAAGAAAAGGACTGTGATTTTTCCACCAGATGTAAAAAACAGAGCGGAAAATGAACCCTCGGTGTGATGTGCTGCTGAAATTTTACACAGATATGTGAAATGGCATAACATGGCCAGCGACCATGGGCCAAAGCAAACAATATCTTTCCATATTACAGTAAAAAATGTACGGGGGAACTGATGAATCCGGACGCTTAATGCTATTCTGAGATAATCGCCATTGGTCGATGCCTGCCCGCACACAGCTGATTTTATTATAGTATTCACTGAGAAAAGACCAGTGAAGTTATTTAATGTAAGTCTAGACATCTCCATTCCTCTTTACAAAAAAAGGAGATACTGCTGAGCAAATATGTTTTTAAATGTCTGTACATTTATTCAGTTGATATATATATTTTTTAATTTAAAGTAGTCGCACTGCAGACAAAGTGATAATTAAATATTTATTCAATTGACAGTAAATGTTAGCAAATGTGTCTCGTTAATTATTATTATTTTTGTTTAATTTTGAATTCCATCAGATGCAAAAAACAAACAAACAGCAACCTATTGGTCATTATAAAAACAATCTAAACATTATTTTATTTTTATTTTAAGATAATAAGCCTTATTTTGCACTCTCAGGCAGCTGTAGCTTTCCAGACGGCTTGTGTCTGTTCTCTTCATTTAAGAGGTCGGATTATGCAACGAACCCTGAAAGCAGCCAGCGTGCCTCCGTCTCTCACACTGCTCCACTTCCTTCAAAGTTTGTGTTTCCCAGATGTAGAGTGTACTTGTGAAGAGATTAAAGCAAGGCAGCGTTCAAGACTCTTTGGCAACTCAAAGAGGAACTATGCCCAATTCAAATTTCATACATGTTATTCCTGTGGTAGGACTGTCCAAAAATTTTAAGAACCCATAAACAATTTCCCCTTAAATCCAGAAACTAGGGTGATACAACATTGTGTTGTCATCGAAAATAAAGAGTGCAACTGCATTTGATTGGAATCGTTTTCATAGCTGGCGATATTTTCTGTTTCCCAACTGAGAACACAATGACAATACAATGACACTTATTTTAGCATAAAAAGAAAACAAACATTATGTGGGAAAAAAATCTGTATTTTACATACTTTTTTGGTGTTGGCTTTGAGAGAGAGTAGCTCATGTTCACAAACTATTGATGGCCATGGAAATAAGAAATTGGACATTTTACTTCAGCTGTCATTCTGGTCTAAAATAAATCACTTTTATATGGGTTATATTGTGTCTTACATGTCAATAAATAATGACTTAGGCCTATCTTTATTTAATTCATTCTATTTCCGCCATATGAGTTTCAATGGTGTGATATGACGTCACATACCTCAATTGTTTCTTGAAATAGCTACACAAGCGGCACAACACAACCCTCAAAGTGTGCAAGGTCTTATAAGGGTGACTCTCACCGTGTCTGGTAAATCACAACATTTCTATCGTGGGACAAAATGATGCCAGCTCACTTCCTTGTCAACAAAGGAAGAGGGGGAACCAGATGGAGAGCTGTTTCTGTGGACTTTAAACAGCCCGCGCAACAACAGCTCAATAAGCAATGGCACTGAAACTCTCCGACACCCAATTGTTTCCTGAGTTTCTGGGTCCGGCCTTCCGGCCCGGAAACTTTTGGGCACCCCCCAGAGGTGAGTTTGTATGTTTGTGTTTACGTGTGCACGCGCTGTACTGTAAGTTAGTGTGTGTGAGAGCTAGGTGGGATTTTTACTAAGGATGCGGGAAGTACATTGGCAAAATGCCCATTGCTTTTTAAAGATTGTTCGAAAGGATGGGAAAGAAAGACACTGAGCGCTGTTGAACAATGCCACTAACAGCTGGTCATGTTGACTACAAGGATTACAGCGTGTTCACAGAGGAAAGAGAGTAACCTTGACCTTTGACCCCACAAGACTCGACCAATATTACACTTTACATTGGGTCAAGAGAGTCTAATAGGCACAGACACTGATTGTGTTGACCATGGGAACACAGCTCACATTCACACTGAACCTCTAACTTCACAGCGTAAAGGACGGTAATAATGAAGAGCAACAGAGCGGTGTAAATAGGCCATGACCTGTTTCCTGCAACCAGCAAGTAAGTAACACTAATACACTTTTTTCTGGCAATATAGCTTGCGTTATCTCCACCAAGGACATTAAGTTTTCTGTTTGTTTTTGGTTATATATTTGTCGCAGCAGGATAAAAAGAAACTTGGAGGAAGAATGAAGCATGGGCCAAGGGAGAACCCATTCAGTGACCTGGCCTTGGTCAGTGCCGATCTGGTTCATTTTGTTTCATAGTGGAATTTATTATTAAGTTATTGCTATGGTTTATTGAGCAAATGTTGTATTATGAACACATTCAAAATGTCTACATACAATATAATAGGACGAGAATATGCAGCTACTGTATTTAAACAATTGGTGGCAGGTGCCAGTTTAATTTATTCCATCAAATGAAAATGCACATGCTGCTAAGGCAACTATGTTCTTTTATCTGATGAAGTCATACAATGAGATTATACATTAAAGAGGAGGAGAATATTCAAAGCAACTACCTGACTTAAAACAGTACAATAAATGAACTCCATGGGAAACATCAATCATTCTTATTTAGTGATATGACTTTTTGTAACCATATTTATGAGCAGTCCTGGTTTATAATGTTTAATTGTGTAATGAGTGCATGAAATTAATTGCTTATGACTGCATCCAGAAAACATATCCTAAATGTAATCACACCATAGCAATTCACACACAATTGGGTATACATAAATTATAACAACAGAAAGTAGAAGGAAATGTATATTCCAAATCACCAAGCACCAGAATAGTTACAAGAGTTTATGCTTGTTTGAGACAAGCGAGACCTGCGCAGACCTGCGCAATTTCGATCAACGTCTTGCTAGTGCGTTGCATGATGGTTAGTCATTTTGTCCGACTTGCTCTGGAGGCTCGCCTACATGAGACGTTGAAATCTCGCGGGACAAAGACGCCCCGCAGCCTTGAGAGCGAGGCGCGGCGAGGCGGCGCAGTTCCTCTCCACGGGCTGCGGAAGCGAAATGCTTGATGGGAAAAGACTCGCTGGTATCTCGAGCTGAGCGCTCATTGGTGGTTTTTACCACGTGCTGCTGATGAAACTCCAATTGGCTCGGCAAAAGTTTGTTAGTTGTTTTGTGTCAGTTCGTCGCCCCCTCCATTAACATTTTTCGTAATTGTTCCACAATGTTTATCATCATGAAATTAATATCTATATATGTTATACTATACTTGCACTGCTTACCGTTTTCATACTTTATATATCTTAGTATATTCATACACACTGTTCATACTGCTCACAGGCTGCTGTGTATATCTATTCATACCCCTCACTGTTTATTCATCATTCAATTCATTCTATCTTTTATTCTGTAGATTGTGTACATTACTTTTCACTTTAATGCTTGTTGCACTCCTGGTTGGAAGCTAAACTGCATTTCGTTGTCTCAGTACCTGTAATATGTGCAATAACAATAAAGTTGAATCTAATCTTGACCAGGAACAAATGTATTTACTTAGTACATATCTGACATTAACGATTAAACACATTTGTGCACTCTTTATAAATGCAAACCGAGTCAAGCCGACTCCGGAGGTGGCGGTATGCACCTTAAAGTTGTTTGCAATCCGCCAAAAAACCGAGAGAAGAAGAAGAAGAAGAAGAAGAAGAAGCTTACTCGGAGCTGTCCGACTTCAGGCGAGCTTTTTGAGACCTCCCCCGGCTGCGAATTCTCGTCTACTTTCGAGGCGAGCCGCAACGCGTCTCAAACAAGCCTTTTGACTACTGTATGCACAGGGGGAAATGAGAGCTGAAAGGAAGAGGAAGAGGCACCTCAAACGTGCTCCTCTACCACCCTCTGGTGAAAGTAATATACCAATACATTTTTCAAATATCAATAAAACATTTCTTAGGTTTGGAATTTGTATACTGATTTAAAAAGTTACCCCTTTTTCTGTCATATCACTTTTATTTTGAAAATCTCGAATCAGCTCTTACCCGGAAGTACCTTCGTGTTATTGTACTAACGATGTGTCATCAACACATTAGGGTGGAAACAGCAAATGTTGGGTAAAATAAGAGGACAAGACCAGTGTTTTATTTTATTTAGGGGCCCGTTACAGACAAGTAAGTTATATTGTCTTTGTCGACAGGCTGTCATAAAGTGAACACGACAGCAAGAGTTGAAAACGCACTCAAACTGCTAAGCTACTTTGGTTCTCCACAACTGCACTGTTAGCATCGGGCTAACTGGCTGATCCCCTGTCTACCTGACGGGACGGGAGAGAGATGTCCTGCAGCTTATTGGAGTTCTGTCGGCTCCAGGAGCTCAAAACGGTCCGGGACTACCTGTTCCAGAGCCAGAAAAACGAGCCGGTGGAGGAGAAGAATCAAACGGGTGAGTTAAACTAGGCTAACACTAGAAAGACAAGGCTAATGCAGGTCTGTAGCATGCTACAGCACATAAGTTAACCAAAGTGACATTAGTCCAGTTAGCTGCCTCTAGAACTAGCTAGTCGAACACTTAGCTAACCTAAGGACTGTAGCTTCATAATGTCACAGCACTGTGGCTTCAGTTCGGAAAGGGGGATTGATCAGTTTGTCTGGAACTACCTGAACTTTAATTGTTGGTTTCAGGTGATCATTATATATAGATAGAGAGATACATAGTGTTTCCTTCCCAAATAGGGCAATTATTTTTGTCTCAGCAGCAGTGTTGTCAAGCATTACACAGAGTAAACATTATTTAAAAGATACAATAAGGTACAAATATAATAAAAGTAAGATTTAACATTGACAGCAAATGTATACAAATTCACAGTAGAAAACACATACATCACTAGAGTATCAACACAAGCTGTAAAAAAGATACAAGACAGTGCTTAATCTTAAATGAATTATATGAAAAACTGCTATTTTCTAACGGCCTTACTGTAGTTATAAAGGCAAATCATTTGATGGTACGGCTATGCAAAGTGAATGATGGAGAGAGCTCCATCTGTGCTGTGCGATACCATCAGCAGGGTGCTGAAAGGGAGGAGGAGAAAAGTGTCTGCCCTTTTGGCTATGAGTCATCCCACATGAGGCACCTGAACACATCACTGCAGGATGCTCAACTAAGGAGAACACACATACACACACAGGGGCTCTAATGCCCTTTCATGTTGATACTTTTTAACGCACAGATGGTGTCATCACCTTGTTCTTGTATGGCAAGGACATTGACCAACACACACACACACACACACACACACACACACACACACACACACACACACACACACACACACACACACACATATACTCTCTCACACACACACACACACACACACACACACACACACACACTCTCCGACATACACCAACACACACACACACACACACACACACACACACACACACACACACACACACACACACACACACACACACACACACACACACACACACACACACACACACACAGACTGCACACTACATTATTAATGTCCATGGCAACAGGATTTCAGTCTGGATTTTGCAACATCACTTAGTTCCCTCAGTGAGTGTGATAAGCTTATATCTCTGGAGATGCTTTGTTAGTGTTTCCCTCTTGTCCTTTTATTTTTTATGGTTTGGTACAGTTTCATTAACGAGTCTTTAGCACAGGGGTCGGCAACCCCTGGCACGCGGCACCGTAACCAGTGGCACACTAGGAATAAGTGTGCAAAATATTGAAATTGTATTTTCCAATCCTGAACGAGACCGCCGCCAGAGCGCGTCTCCCCGTTACCTGCAGAAGGAAGCCATGCACGCAACGCAGCCCCGCTCTTTATCTCCAGGTGACTTTCTGCCGCTTTCCTCCGTGGTGCAGTGCTGATCGTTTCACCACAGAGGAAAGCACTTCACTAATTGCAGTACCCATAAGGAGCTGTACAAATGCCGAAAGTTTTTGCGTGGCTGTGTATTTAGTTGAAAGCCCAGTGGCGATCTGCTCATCTGTTATCGAAATAATATGCTACAAAGGGGCGGACTGGCCATCTGTGTGTTGAACTTTCTGTCGGCTCCCAGACCATAGTCAAGGAGGGCAGAAGCAACAAGCTTCAGGTTCAATAACCAACTTTAACTTAAATGACTGGAGAGGCGAGCTCTTCTTGGGAGGCCGTTACATTTATTTAGCTGTTCTTCTGTTTCACAAAATACATCACAGACCTCTGTTTTTCCGCTTCCTCGTTTCACTTCCATGAGCCTAATATCCTAACATGTGTGCTCTGGAGAATCACAGAACGGACGATCGTCCTTATTATTATGCCGTTTAAACCAATTATTTAAATGTGTTTGTTAAATTCGGCATCATGTAAGTTGCGCTGACAGGTCCACACACTGCTTCCCCGCCCTCCTGCTGATAGTTCACGAGCGTCCAGCACCTCAACCCCCCCCGTTGATAATTCTCGATCGTTGACACGCTGATAACAATTTTTAAAAAAAATGGCACTTCATATCAAAAAGATTGCCGACCCCTGCTTTAGCGGTTAGACGCCAACACTTTCCTACTGCCTGTTATTTCACATAGTCCGTTTTTTTAATGAATTTAGGATCACTGTTATGTTTGCCCTGTTATATTACAAATCGGTATGATGTCACAAGTTCATATCTATTGTAATTTCCCTTACAGAAAATGATGTGTCCTGGGAGACCTCTGAGTGGGAGTCGGCATGGGATAGCGGGGAAAACAAAGAGGAGGAAACGACTTCTGCCACAAAGGTCTGTCATTATGTGTCTCTATTTTCACATTAGGCGATCTCCATACACTTTTGATATGCGTTAGCAATAGAAAAACCTAAGTGGATGAGTGGGAAATGAAAAAATAAGTCTTGAAATATGGTTAATATGTTTTTAAATGCGGCTGACGTGGAAAAGTTGGTGTTTCAGTTAAAGCAAAATGTGACAAAGTGGAATGCCAACAGTTTATGGGGTTATCACTCACATCACTAGCAGATTGAAGGTACAGGTACCCTCCTCCCACTGACTGTCCTCTTCACCCTGCAGGTGGAGGAGGAGCCCACAGAGCAGAGGGCCCCCTGGCTGCAGGACTGTGTCGTGTCCCTGTCGCCCTGCTCCGACCTGCTGGTAGTGGCCCGCGAACAGAAGGCTGTCTTTCTCTCAGGTCAGATATTCAAACACTCACTCATCTCTTAGCACACAGAGGAGTTACACATTGCTGTTAATGATTATTCATTGTTACAGCTAAGTGGCGTACAGATGATGGCGGCAGAGAGGAGATGACCCTGGCTGTGTCCTGGACTGGAACACTCAGCACTGATGAAGGGTAAGGGTCACATTTGAGATTGTTAGCATTCTATCTTTGGACAAGTGTATAAGGAAAATGTAAGCATATTGGATGACAACAGGAAGGAGAATGACACGGACACTACCAAGGATGAAGAAAGTCACAGTGAAAATGGATAGTTGTTTGACAGTGGGTGAACAAATAAACATGAGCAAAAGGAACAGTTATTCTAAGTTCTTGAGAGAGAGAGAGCTGTACAGTAAACATTTTCTACTTTGTGTATGTTTTCTCACTACAGAGAGTGTGTGAGCAGCTCCATCTGCATACCGTTGGCAAGCCAGAAGCGGTAAGAATTACTAGAAAAGGGAATAGAGAGAAATGCAAAATGCTTTCTGTGTACATGACGATGTGTGTATGTATGTGTGTGTAGGAGCTCCACAGGGCGGCCTGATTGGACATGTGTGGTCGTGGGTTTCACTTCTGGCTACGTCCGCTTCTACACAGAGGTACCTCCCCTTGGACTACAACGCTTCGTTAGCCTATGCAAAAATGGCATTCAGCAGACATTTATTATTATTATGTTTTAAATCATTCAATAAATACTCAGGAATGTCAGTATTAAATGTAAGTCCTTTCTGGTCAGAATGGCGTTCTCCTCCTGGCCCAGCTGCTGCATGAGGACCCTGTGTTGAGGCTCAAGTGTCGCACGTATGAGATCCCTCGTCATCCTGGAGTGACTGAGCAGGTAACGCACACACCGAAGACTCCTACAACAACTGTGTCTGACAATCATTTTATCTAGGAAAATGTCTTATCTTATCTTAATATCTTATCTAGGAAAGTGCCGTTCTAGTCTTCTAAACACTCACTGACACATTTACTGATCATTACCAAATGTTATGATGATTCACACACTCTCTCACACACCATGATAGCCACAAACTCAAGCCAGCAGCTACGGAAAACAGCACACAGTCTCTGCTGGTTGCCCAGCAACATCACCAGGGCTGCAGTCGAATTGTCCAAAAATCAGCCCCTATCGTTTATTCCTATCCACTATTCCTTGACCTCTGAGTGAAACGTCACGGGGTTAAGGGATAGTGGATAGGAGAATTCAAAAGGACTTAGGAGAAGAGACTGCGGTGCTTTGAGAATCCGACTGCACTTTCACTATCGACGTGTTTATGATGCGCCAGCGGACCATAAATGTGCGTCTGCTGCTGTGGGGAAACTATGGAAACTACAGTTTTCTATAGCGGACTACATGGATGTTTAATAAGAACGACGGACTACTGTAAACTCATCTCGAGACTCTGCACCGTGCCCTGATGCTGTTGTTTTATGCTTTATGAACGTGGACAACAGAGAAACATAAATTATTCATGACCAAAGTTGGAATTTAAATAAAAAAGTAAAATGAAACTTATGCTCGTCACCCTCTCCCTCCCGTCCACACGTATTAATCCACATGAATCCCAATACGTATGATTGTATGAAAAGATCTTAAAATAAAGCTGAGTAGACACTATGAACTGTTGACTTTATTTTATTTCAGTAAAAAAGTAACGTTCATATTTCTCCTTTTGATTATTATAGTGTTGAATGTTCAAAACAAAGCACTTTGGCAAGTTACCACATAAGTTGTAAAATGCTTAATAAGCACCATAACTTTCATGATACAAATTTCCCGGTCATAATCGGTTGTTTCCGTGAACGGCCGACTGTTGTGTGGTGGTAAATGCTGCGGCCGCAAGGCATTGTGGGGCAGCATTTTCTCTTTTCCTTTCGTAAAGGAAGGTCCAGCGTTTCCTAAGCTAAAAGCTAAGACTCAGATTTTGATTCATAAAAATAATCCAGCATGTAACCCCATAAGAAAACGTACTTCTTGTTCCTTAACTTTTGTCCGTATCCCGTTATGATATGTGGCAGATATTTGATAATTGTGTATTTTCTTTCTGTCGCAGCATGAAGAGTTAAGCATCCTGTACCCCGCTTCTATGGTCACCATCGACGGCTTCAGCCTCTTCCAGTCTCTGCGGGCCTGCAAGAACCAGGTGGCAAGAGGTGTGTGTGTGTGTGTGTGTGTGTGTGTGTGTGTGTGTGTGTGTGTGTGTGTGTGTGTGTGTGTGTGTGTGTGTGTGTGTGTGTGTGTGTGTGTGTGTGTGACTAACTGGCTTGTGTGTTTATAGTGTAGGATAAGAGTCACAGGGTTTTAGCGTCTAGCGAACAAACTTGACGATTTTTTAAAAGTGTTTAAGTGTGCTAACTATGGATGCGTTCTTCTCTTGCTGGCTGTTTGGATAGTGTTTGCCTCAATGCATTCAGGTACTAAGGAAAAAAACACAAAACTACAACTGCCCCACTCATACCCCCTTTTAGATTAGCAGCCATGCTTTAGCGGGTTTTCTCTGAGCATCTAGTCGTGTGTGTGTGTGCGTCTTCCATTTAATTTGACCAAATTTGATTCCTGTCAATATTAATGTACCTGGTTTAAATGTAACTTAATTTCTAGACATGAGTGCAACTATAGATTATAAAACCCATGTCAAACATTTGGTGTTTCAATGACAAGCTGTGTTTTTGATCCAACCAGCGGCAGCAGCAGGCAGTGATGTGATCCAGCCCCCTCCCCTGGCCTATAAGAAGTGGGGTCTGCAGGACATGGACGCCATTGTGGACCACTGTAGTGTGGGTAGGAAATTACTTTTAATTATCACTTATGATATACTGATTGGTGTTTTTGGCTGACCTTGTTTTGAATCACAGGGTAAAAGTGATTAGAGGTCAATTTGAATTACAGTTTAATAATATGTTGACAACAATCCGAATCTGGTTTAAATATTTGATTTAAAATAAGATTTAAAGAATGATGACAGGAAACCCTGTAAGCACTTATTCAATGTTTCCCCACATCCCTGTTCCCCTCCGTCTCTCCTGCTGTTAGGCGTGATGACGCTGTGTGTGTTTGACCAGATGAAGAACGCTTCTATCCTCGGGGGGTTTCATGCTTCAGTCAAGGGAAACCCCCCCGCTATGAGCCAGTATGTCACTGTGGGAGGTGGGCCATACACGGGCTTCTACTATGCTGTAGAGGTGAGTGAGTGAGAGAGAGAAGGAGCAGGCTGTTTGTTTTCCAATGAGGATTGCAAATAAGGCAACCTAACTGTATATTCAAGAGACAGGGCCAGACATAAGAGTGTATTTAGGGAGAGTAAACTCAGCTGTTGTTGTCTTTCTGTTTGTCTTCAGGGAAGCTCCCAGCCTCTCCTCTCTCACGTGGCTCTGGCTGTGGCCAGCAAACTCACCTCAGCTCTCTTCAGTGCTGCAAGGTGTGTGTGTGTGTGTGTGTGTGTGTGTGTGTGTGTGTGTGTGTGTGTGTGTGTGTGTGTGTGTGTGTGTGTGGATAATTTTTACAATATTGCCTGACCATTACACTATTCTGTATAAGAAAACCTTTTAAAAATATGCAAATTTAGAACATCATTATTTTTTACAAACTAAATGACTAATATTACGGAACAAACTGGACTAAACTAATGACCATGTTTTCATTTGTGTAGTGCATGACTTTAAAGATAAATAGGGTTGTCCAATGTTTCCTTGTGCCAGTGTGAGCATTTCTTTCCTGTCTCATACACACTTGAAGAATGAATGCAGCACTGTTGTTAGCTATGTTCTGCTCCAGCAGCCCAATCAATACTGTGATATATATAGCCTGCTCTCTGCTCAATGCTGCTTAATACAGGATGTTGGTTTGCTTCTATCCTCCCCTGAGTCTCCTCTCATCTCAACTGCCTGTCAGTCGCCAAATCTCCTGTATTACTTTTCCCAACTTTCTAGTCTTCCTTTATCCATTTTTCCCACATAGATTCATCATCTAATTTGTCTCTTGCTAACCTTCTTTGTGTGTTTTTCATTATTTCCTCCCAGTGGATGGTTGGGTTGGAACAAGCATAAGAATGAAGAGGAGGCAGTTCAGAAACAGAAGCCGAAGGTGGAGCCTGCTACTCCCTTGACCATCAGGTATCAGTCATGATATCTCAACACAAAGGCCTCATTGCCCCCTGAAGCATGTTCATGAAAATTCATCGTTCATTCTCTTAAATCCTCTTCCACTCAGATTTGGTCTCCCAGACTCCCGTCGTCATGGCGAGTCCATCTGTCTGTCCCCCTGCAACACGCTGGCCGGAGTGACGGATGACTTTGGTCGGGTCTCGCTGCTGGACTTGGCAAGGGGCGTGGCTATCCGCATGTGGAAAGGTGAGGAGAAAGATGACCAAGGACTGAGAAGGGAACCATTAAGAGGTTTTGAAGTTGAACTCGTGAGGCACGCAAATATTGGCGCTTCATTGGTTATGTCAGATTTATCGGCATTGGACAGAAATTAACACATTTTCTCCAATAAGATGCACAAGATGAAAAAGTTCAAATGTGCTGGGTTTGTGCCGACTGTTTGCCTTAGTGACAGCCTCATCCAAGCTTGTTAAAGTAAGACATTTCTAGTTTGTGTTTAAAGGTGTAACATGAAAGTAAATATGGCATGTATAACATGTTACGTTAGTTCAAGTAATTTATCTATTACACCTAATTGTTGTGTACCTTTTGGTAAAACATTATTCATTATGTCTGCATCTACCAATAAGCCATCACTATGATAGTTGGCATAATAACATGGTTATTCCACTAAAGAAGATTATCTATGTTCTCTCCATGAGGTGAAAGAAATGTGTACAAATGTCTGTATTGGCAATACAGACATTTACAGGAATGTTACGTTTCTCTCAGTGGATTTTACAGTTTGTACAAAATATGAATACGATGCCCAAAATATTGTCATATCCAAGATTGGCAAAATTAAAATACATTAACGGAGTCTGTTCCTACTTTATAATCAATTATGATGCATTTAATAGAAAAATTGATGTGTCCCCGAAATGTAAATGTGACCATTCATTCGTTTAACTTCCTGCAGGCTACAGAGATGCTCAGCTGGGATGGCTGCAGGTTCCAGAGGAGCGAGTCGATCGAGAGTCATCCCCCTCTGCCTCCCACCCCAGACGCCATGCTTTGTTCCTGGTCATCTACGCGCCGCGCAGAGGGATCCTGGAGGTGTGGGGGATGCAGCATGGACCCCGAGTCGGAGCCTTCACTGTGGGCAAACACTGCAGGTACAAACATGCACACAAGCAAATCAGATGTGTCTTAGCCTAAAAGCATCACAAACAAGCATATCGCAAAAGCACTTGCACTGTAAAACAAATGTGAAATGTAAATTATTCTCTCATTCATGTGTTTGCACACTTTCAGGTTGCTGTATGCTGGCTACCGTCTGATGGGGGTGAACAGTGTGACTAGTAAGGGCTGGCAGCTCCACACGCAGCAGGTGTGTCTGCTGGATCCCATCACAGGAGCTCTGAGGACCGTCAACATCCCCTTCCACCTGGCCCTCAGGTTGGTACACACAGGAAAACACACATACGTTCACTTTAAATAAACAGTAGATCAGCTGTCATGAAGGCAATTTAAAGGCACAGTGAACAACCTCTGAAGCACACTAGTCAATACGTCAGACATAGTGCGTGCAAAAACCAAATGGTAAAATACACATATTTCTTATTTTTGTACATATTTCGCTCCCTAAATTCGGCAAAACCTTATTTGGATAATGCTAATGAATGTTAAGGCGATGGAATTTATTATAACTGGACTGTAATCATTTACGTTTGCACGGTCTTCAACCACAACTACAAAAGCCGTCATACTCTTTCAAAACGCTTGCCCTCAATCATGGATTTTTAGGCTGTGATACCTTGTTCCTACAGTAGGTTGCGGTCGAATAGTCCATTTAGCTTAGGAACCTTCCTAACGGAGTGAAATGACCCGGAAGTCCCTCAGTGGCAGCCATGATAAGTGCCGTTCCGAATTCTCTACATGATATTGAAAAGGGGAGCCGGTTTCAAGCTCCTTTATTAACTCCTTTTAGCTTAGGGAACCACTTTGACCTCCCCTTACGAAAGAGAGGAGAAACTGCTGCCCCACACAATGCCTTGCAGGCAACAGCATTTGCCATCACACAACAGTTCGGTCCGTTCACGGACACAAACAATGATGACGGTTGAAATGAGTATCATGAAAGTTACGCGTGCTTATTAAGGCATTTTAAAACGTATGTGGTAAGTTGCCAAAGTGCTTTGTTTTGAACGTTCATCAGTATTATAATCAAAAAGAGAAATATGAACGTTAGTTTTTACTGAAATGATCAAATAAAGTCAACATTTTATTTATCCACAGTGATAGATGTTAAGGACCAATGTTTATAATAAATAGATTTGTATTGATTTTAAGATATTTTCATACAATCATACGTATTGGGATCATTTGTATTAATGTTGACCGGAGGGAGAGGGTGACGAGCATAAATTTCACTTTCCTTTTTTATTTCAATTACAACTTTGGTCATGAAGAATATGTTTCTCTGTTGTTCTCGTTCACAAAGCATAAAACAACAGCATGAGAGCACGGTGCAGAGTCTCTAGATGAGTTTACAGTAGTCCCTCGTTCTTAATAAACATCCATGTTGTAGTCCGCTGTATAGAAAACTGTAGTTTCCATAGTTTCCCCACAGCAGCAGCAGACGCACATTTATGACGTCCGCTGGCGCATCATAAACACGTCGGATAATGAAAGTGCAGTCGGATTCTCTAAAGTACTGCAGTCTCTTCTCCTAAGTCCTTTTGAATTCTCCTATCCACTATCCCTTAACCCCATGACGATAGCTATAGACGCTGATTTTTGGACTATTCGACCGCAACCCTAGTCTACAAGCATTTTTAAGACACCCTTTTAATGAGTGCTGCACAGAATCCATTCAAACCGTATCTTTGTCCATTTCAGTGACAAGAAGAGTGAGCGAGCCAAAGATATGCACCTGTTAAAGAAACTGACTACTCTCCTCAGGAGCAGAGAGGTGGAGCCCGGTAAGACATCCTCGAGTGAGATCAGAATGGAGGTTTAGATATAATTCTATAAACTGAGATCCAAAATCTACTTACTCGTCTTTTCTTTCAGATATATTGGAGAGCGAAGCCAAAAGTGCGCTGCTGGACATCAAACATCCCGCCATTAAAAAGCAGGTATAAACAAATATAAAATACTGATTGCTTCAGACACTAATACACAGTAGTATTTCTAATTGCAGTCTTTGCACCTTCCTTTTAGGCTTTGGAGTCACTACTGTCCAATAAGAATGCTCCTGTCTCTTGTCTTGCTAACATCACATCTGCCTTATATGACACTCTAAAGCAACAAGGTAATGATTCAGTTTATATTTAAGAAAATATATATTCGTTTGATATATCTAAGATGTAATAATAAAAGAGTCCTTGACTGGTTTCCAAAAAATGTGCCCAGCTTAATGGCTGAAATGTGAACTAGTGTAAATGTGAAGCTATGTACATATCATACAAATGGAAATGAATTTCTGTGTTGTTGTGTATGTGTGCATTACAGACCCAGATGAGGTGGATCCAGCTCTACAGCAGCTCTGCTCCTCTCAGCTGAAACTGCTTCAGCTCTACTCCGACATCCAGCAGCTGCACTCGGCTGCAGACACAGAGACCTGCCCTGGAACTGTGAGAGGACACACCTACAGAAAGCTTGTTCATAGTACTCGCATAAACAACACATTGTAAAACAACATAGCATATGCTAACATGGGTAGGGATGAAAACATTATAAAAGATTGTATATTTTTTAAATAGTAAAAGTAATAATAAACTATAATATAGGTCCAAAGATGGTGAACCATAAAACAACAAATATTTCAAAAAACATGGATGTAGAAACAGGTATTGCGGTCAAACTTAAAGATGAACAATTTGAAGAAACAAATGTGTTTTTGGATGCTTAATGACTTAACTAAATCAATCATTGATTCGTCAACCAAATCGTTTGAGTATTAGTCGTCTAGGAATTTTGTAGGTCTTGGAAACCTCTTGAAAGAACAGGCTCACAATGTTGCTATTTTTGTAATATTTATCCTTATTTCATGCAGCGGGACCTTATGATCTATCATTTCCTTATTTATGATTGTTTGCTTGTTTTTCCCTCACTTAAACGGATGTACACTAACAAATACCGATGTGGTCCCCCCCAGGAGGAGTCCCTGGAAGGCATCGAGGAGGAGCTGTCCCGTGTTGGTCCTACCTTACAACGCTACGCTCAGCTCACCACCAGACCCAGTGTGTCCTTCGCCCAGGACTCGCCCAACTCCCTCCTGCCCGCCCAGGCCTTCCTCTCCCAGATGGAGTGCACCGAGGGAGAGGAGCTGAGGGTAATCCGCGGCTCTGAAACCCAATGGAATCAGCTAGGTAGGGTAACATGACACTAAGATGTTTAAGTGTTTATCTAATACCAGAGAAATATTCAAAACAAGTCTTATGGAGGAGAACAGAAATGCAATGTTTTCAACCCTTTGATGAACAGAAATCTCAGTGACTTCAGACATCTTGAGTACATTCCATGAGTCCAGACTGAGGACTTTAATCGTGTGTTTCCTTCACAGGGAACTTTATGTTCTGGGGTTGTCTGTGTGGAAAGAGCCCACTCCATAAAATGTGTGATACACTGCAGCAGGCAGGCATCAGTCCTCAGCAGCTCCTGGTAAGATGGATGAAGAGGCTGATAAATAGGATAATGATAATGTGGTGTTTCCTTTTCTAAGTCTAATCTAAATTGTTTCCATCATATGTCAATAACCTAAGAACAGTTGAAAAAAAAGATTTTGCCAGGTTAATAGTTTTTACGTTTCTTAAAAAAAGAACCTTATGTTAAAATGGTGGGAACATAACTTTATTTTTTTAAATCGGTGAATACATAATTTTTTGCACGATCATGTTTGTTGTTGTAATACTCATTTCTACCACAGGAGGTTGAATTGCACCACCATAACATCTACTGAATAGAGCTAAAAGCTTTCATAGGAGTTATTCCAGGCAAAAGAGATATGATAATGTAACATAACATACTATTTATGAAATATATAGGAATAACTTGTTTAGAGTGCAAGGAGACATTAAACCTCACCTATTTAGGGCATAGGGTAATGGTGCACTTCAACATTGTGTGGCCAGAATAAATATAACAACAACAAACACTTCAAAATGGTCCTGACATAAATGTTTTCCACCTGTTCTTAAGGAGAGAAAGCAATATAGATCCGGCTTAGATAATGGTCATCAGGTAGTTTTTTCTTTTTGTAGAATGTTTCCCATAGCCATAAAAACTGCCATGTGAAAAATGCGCATTACAGCAGTCTTTAGGACATTCCTCTTTCTTTCAGTCCCTGTTGCTAAGTGTGTGGTTGCAAAGAGAGAAGGAGGTGCTACAGAAACCAGAAGAAACTGTAAAAAATCTACACACACTACTCATCGCCCTTAGCAACATGAAAGGTATGTACATGTCTCCAGAGTGTGCTGACATGTTTGCTTGAATATCTGTCAAGTCAAACCAATACAAAAGGAGAAGAGAGTCACCATTTCTTCTTCTCTCTCTTTTCTCAATAGGTGCAGTTGAGGATTCCTGGGACCCCCAGTCTATCTCTCCCTGGTGGCAGCAGGTCCGCACTACATGCATCCAGTCCCACAACGCTGCTGCTGCTCTGCTGGCTGCTTTTGTTGCTCACCGCGCTACCAAAGCTAGCATCACAAGCCGGGCTGACAGCAAGGTAGAGAAGTCTCATGCACACACACAGATACACATACACACATAGAAACACAGATTTGCAACACAAACAGCACTATGACTTCATTTCTTTTGGTTCTAATATTGACACTTAAACCATACTTCCTGACTTCCTGCTTGTTTTATGTGTTTGTGTGTGACAGTTTCAGTCAGAGTGGGAGGCAGTGTCCCTTGAGCTGGAGCAGTGGCTGGTGTGTGTTCGCCAGCTGGAGGATGTGTTGGTGCTGCAGACTCTGCTATTGGTGCCTCCTCCTCAGGGCTCAACAGTGGGCGCTGCACCACAGTGCTCCATCAAAACGCTGCTGGAGGGAGGCACAGGTAGACCATAAAGAAGTTCCTCAGGGACATTAACAGGCGTAAAGCATTATTCCTACATGCTTCTTTTTTTATTTTACCTTATTATGAAGTATTTTCATTCTTTCTTATACTCATACTTCTTTCAGTACTCATATTCTGTTTTTTAGTTCATAACACTGATCGTTTTATACTGTATATGTTATTTTAATCCCGTTCTTTTCATCTATCTAATTCATTAATTCATCTAATTTTCTATATAGGCGGCATTGCAGACAGTATCTCCAAGTGGGTGTTTAGGCACAACTTGGCCCCTGAGCGATTGAAGGAGATTCTCCAAAAGAAAGAAGAGGCAGATGAAAAACTTGAGCAGAAGTCCGGCGAAGGAAAGGAGCTGGAGGAGGGGAATCAAGAGGACACAGACAGAACAGCAGGTCAGAATTTAGGACTGAATAAGATCTCATAGCAAATCTTGGCTTCTGATAAAAAATTGTTTGAATACAGACGCATTGAGATTAATTCATTATGTGTTTTTCAGAGCTGCTAGTGGCAGTTTGCCAGCGCTTCCCTCACTCCCTGTCTCCTGACCTGCTCTCCGCCCACTGCTGCTGGGAATATGTGGTGCAGTGGAACAAAGACCCCGAGGTACACATGCACATAAGTCTTTCTGTTTATTAAATAATATAGATTTGAGCTTATTTCTATTGTCCTCAATTTACCTAATTATATATTAGCTTGATTCTTTCAATTCCATATTAATTCCAATACCAGGTTTTAATTCCAATTCCAGGTTCCAATTCCACAGTTTTAAGGTTCTTATCCCAAATTCCAAATTGCTATTCCAGTTCCATATTCCAAATTCCATTTCCAGGTTCTAATTCAAAATTCCAATTCCACATTCTAGATTCCAATTCTAAATTTGACTATAAATTAAAATTCCCATTCAATATTTAAATTCCAATCAAAAAATTCTGGATTCCAAATCCCAATTCCACTTCCAAAGTTTCGATTCCAAACCCCAATTCCAGGTTGTCATTCCAAATTCCAAATCTGAAATTCCAATCCCGAATTCTGGGTTCCAATTCTACATTCCAATTCAAGGTTCCAAATCCCAATTCCACTTCCAATTTCACTTGCAATTCCAAATGTAGATTCCAATTCCCGATTCCAAATTCGATATACCAAATTCCAATTTCCAATTCATATTCCAAGTTCCAATTCCATATTCCACTTCAAGGTTCCAATTTAAATTTTCAAATCCACATTCTAAATTTCAAATTCTAATTCCAGATTTTAATTTCGCATTCCAATTCCATATTCCAATTCCAGGTTCTAAATTAAAATTCCACTTCAACATTTGAATTCCAAATTCTAGGTTCCAATCCCACATTCCAGGTTCCAATTCCACATTCCAATTCTAGGTTCCAATTTAATGTTCCAATTCACGTTCTAAATTTCAAATTTAAATTCCACTTCAACATTTAAATTCCAAATTCTAGGCTCCAATTCCACATTTAAATTCCAATTCAAGGTTCTAAGTTCCGATTCCAAATCCAAATGTAAATTCCACTTCCAAGTTCCACTTCCAAGTTCCACATTCTAAATTTCACATTCTAAATTCCACATTCTAAATAATTCCAGTTCCAAATGTAAATTCCAATTCCTGATTCCAATTCCAAATTCCACTTTCTAAATAATTCCAAATCTAAATTCCAGTTCCAAATGTAAATTCCAATTCCTCCAATTCTACATTCCAAATTCCAATTTCGAATTCATATTCCAGGTTCCAATTCCACATTACAATTTCCAATTAATATTCCAAGTTCAAATTCCATATTCCAATTCAAGTTTCCAATTTAAGGTTTCAAATCCACATTCTAAATTCCAAGTTTTTATTCCAAGTTTTAATTCCATATTCCAGTTCTATATTCCATATTCAAATTCAAATCCCATGTTCTAAATTCCAATTTTAGGTTCTAGTTCCAGGTTCCAAGTTTTTTGTGTACGTTTTTTATTAGTGCGAATGCTGTTCCGCTATAGTTTGAATGCTGTTCCACTATAGTTCTTCAAATCTTTATTCTTCAACTTCTTATTATTTCACCAAATACTTTGGCTCAATAACTTCAGCATACTTTCAGCTACAGAAACCATTCAAATGTCAAAATATTCAGCCTTTTCAGCACATGATGGGACACTTTCAACTTTTTCAAAATATGTTATACTTTTTGAAATATTCACTTTTTTAGTGGGAATTCTGTTAACAGCTTTCCAACTAACTGTTATTCTACGCACGAAAAGTTTGTTATTTCGCCGGTATTTTGGCCCTCTTCTCCTCCCGCATTGAACATCACAGAAACTCCGTTCAAACATCAAAACGTTCAGCTCGGTCGGGAATCGATGGCTATTACTTTTCTCATTCATAACTTTCATAATTCCAGAGATACATCCCATAATACATCCCATTTTTAACATTTTTAACAATGGAGAAAATCTTCAGACTTCAACAAATCTTCATGCAATTCAACTGCTAACTGTTCATTCATACTTTCACTCAGACACCTCATTCCAACTTTAAAATTGTACACATCTTTCTGACAGTATTCGTGTAAAACAACTTTTAAATCTGATTCTTACTTTTAGAGTTATTAAACATTGTTCAGACCTTGTTTTAGAGGTTTTCTTCACATTTTAACATTAACTAGAGTGTGTGATGTCACAGCAAGAGTGGAGGACAGCTTGAAATTCGCATTCATATATTTTTTTTAAACTGCCATAATTCCCAAACCCTACATTCCTGAGACATAATTTATCATGACAAACGTAGGAAAACATCTCGTAGCTTGAAAAATGACAAATAATTAAGCAAAATAATTAAACAAAATGCTTTTTGAGGGCATGAAGTGACAAAAACGTTNCCCAGTGTTTCACTTATCATTTCAATCTAAATTCTTCACTTTCTTCTTACACATTTCATTTCAATCTTAATTCTTCACTTTCTTCCTACACATTACATTTCAGCATAGCAGTTTAGCGTCAGCTTTTCAGCATAAAGCATTCCCACTAGCAATTTCTTCAGGAATTGCATTCTCTAGTTTAACATGTAACTCAATGGGAGGAACCTTCAAATCCTCTTTTACCTACACCTTGCGCCAAATGCTACTCCTTCCACANACTTTCAGCTAGAGACTTCATTCCAACTTTAAAACGCTCACAAGACATTCAGCTATACAACTTATATTATACAGATTTTTCATATATTTTATACTTTTTGAGATATTTAACTTAGTTTGGAGCTTGGTAAAGAGGCATTAGTGTGTATTGAAAATACAAAAAAGGTTTTAAACCTGCCATAATTCCCAAACCCTACACTCCTTGGAGATAATTTTTCAGGAAAAACTTAGGAAAACCTCTCCTACGTTGAAAAATAAAAAAGAATTAAGCAAAAAAATTAAACAAAATGCCTCTTGGGGGCATGAAGTGACAAAAACGTTCGACATGTCTCCATTCAGCCTGATCCATTCAGCCTGATCTGTCCTCAGAGCACCAGCTGCACACCTTTAGTAAATCTGCCAAAAATGCCACATTATGGACCCGAAAGTGCACAAAAAGCAGATTCCGACACTCCTCACGGTCCTGACATCCTCCACGCGTTGACATTTTACTGAAAGCATCTACCGTTTTTAAACTATAGTTAGAAATGTAAGAGGTTTATCCCTCATTCAGAACAATGGAAAGGCACTCCTTTCACAGCACATCTCCATGGAAACCTTTGATCTCTGGGCTCATGTACACAGGTGTTTGATAACGTCGTCACCATGGCAACCTTTGATCTCTGGGCTTACACACACAGGTGTTTGATAACATTCATTCACTGCTACTTACATTTAATATTTAACTCCTTCAGCCTACTTTCAGCTACAGAAACCATTAAACTATTAAATGATTCAGCTATTTTAGGACATCAAGGCTATACATTTTGTTGTTTATACCTTTTTTTTTAAAACCTTTTCTTTTAAATATTAAGCTTCTTCACTATTTTTCCTACTCTTCCAGTTTAACATTTCACTTTCCAGTTTACAACAAAGTGCAATGCATTTAAGCTGTAACAATTTTGATTCAAATCATTTGACTTTTCTGCATTTCTCCGCTAAGTTCAGCAACACACTTACTTGGTTTTTGTAGCTAAAAGCAGCTACAGAGACCATTCAACTAATAAAATATTCAGCAACAAATGTACACAGTTTACAGCATTCACATGCATTTTCAACAGGAAATGCATTTTCTAGTTTGCTCTTAAGCTTGACAAGTTATCTGTAAAGAAAACTATTATGAATGTAATGAATACATCTGGACTGACTCCTTATTCTCTTCGTAGGAGGGCCAATATTTATGGTGTGCTGTTGAACATTTGAAGCTGGTCTCCAGTCCACATATCAAGCTAGGTGAGAGGCTTTTCTTTACCAATCATTTAATATAATAGTTTTTCTAATCTATCTAATAATATGTCAGATCCATTAGGTAAAGGGTGAACTGCTCTTTAGGTATGCATTAAATAACAACTCAAATATATACTCAGTGAAAATAATAGTACCTTCTGAAAGTGACGCTCTCTACTGTGTTGTTGGATTTTCCTCTCAGGTATTTCTGCGATGATGTGGAGCACGTTCATTGTGAAGCGCTTCTCAGCAGCAGCCTACCTCATGGAGAAGGTAAGTCACACACATACGTATGCCTATGTGTTTTCGAGTCTGAGAGGCACTAAATGAGATGTTCACACTTCTTGTTCCTAGGTGGGGAAAGCACCCAAAGATCGCTTATGTCGACGGGTAAGTACATTTGAATTGAAGTTATTTCTGATTGTATAATTATGTTATTAGGATTCCATATTAAGGACATGTATTCGTTTGTGCAGGACGTCGGGATGGGAGACAAAGCCGTGACTTCTTTCCTGGGCTGCTGTGTGCAGCTGCTGCAGATCCTCATGGAGGTGACTGGAGTATTGGTTAAAAATACGAGCCCTGTGTCTTTTATAGATTACCTTGTAAGTAAAGACATTCCTGTAAAAAGCATGGAGAAACCACTAGCCCTACTAACCACATCTGTACTTGATACACATGTGATGTGGCATGCTGCTTGCAATTAGAATTGGTGTATGATATGGTTTCTTCACAAAATAGTCACCTTGTTAAAAAAATCAAAAGTAAAGGAGAGACACTGCAGGTCAGTAGGGTAAAACAGTATATCTGATATTACCATGAAACTTCCCTCAGTTTATTTCTATCTATATTACTGATGTGTCTTTTCAATAGCCTAACATTGGACTTGTTATAGAAACAAAATATCCTAAACTTAATAAATGGGCCTGTAGTGACCCACCTTCAATCAACTGCAGGTTACGAGTTTCCACATCAAACCACGAGTCAGTATGCAACTTACTCGTGATTGGCTTGCATGTCACAAATCCTGCTCGTATTAAACTCACTTTCATGAAGCTAAGAGAAGCCTTCAGCAGATGAAATGGAAAAATGGCCTTCGGGTGTCAAACAGCAGGATCCTGCTCAGTGAGTCTCAAACCCAACAGTGCCAGGAAAATGAGAAAAGCCCACTTTTTGAGGGCTTTACATTTGTGCATGTGTGTATTCTGCACTTTAAATACGTGGTAACAATGTTAATTAACCATATGTTGTTTACTAACCCACACGCCTTTCTCATCATCATCTCCTCTGTTGCGTTTCCCCGCAGGCGGACTCTGCTGTGGAGGAGGTCTCGGCCCCGGAGCTGTCCATGGAGGAGGCGTGGTGCGGGGCAGAGGGCCCGGCGTCTCTGGCTGAGATGGCCCTGGAGCAGAGGGGCGTCCACTACCCTCTGGTGCAGCACCACTGCCTGGTCGCCTCCCTGCTACATGCTGCTATGACCTTTAGCCTGAAGGTCAAACCTCTCAGCCTGTTTGACAGCAAGGTGAGGAGACTGCTGACACACATATACTCATGATTAGTGAAGGGAATCCTTTAGAGATACACACATTTACATTTCGTCTAACGATAGTCGGACCTGAGAGATTCGATTCATTTATTTTTTTCCTTTCTAAGAACTCAAATTGACAGCATACATAAACTGTTTTCCATATAACAGTAATGGTTAAACTAACAGTAATTACTTTATTAACTAATTTAAACTTTTTATTGTGTCAGAAAACAAGGTAAATTAAGTTTTTAAACATGGCACCCCTTATTTGGGCTATTGAATGTTTACACTTAAACAATAAAAAAAAAGTCACCAGGCCACTTTGAATTCAATACATATTTAATATTATTATTTTTAAGATTGTGATCCTAGCATTGGTTAAGTGTCATTTTTTATCTTTGCTACCTGTTATAACCAAAGGGAAATATTATAAAGAACTCTCTCCTTTGGTTGTTATTACAAAAACTAAACCCTATTGTGTTGAGTTATTTGTGCACCAACATGTCTGTCTACTTTCTCAGGGTAAGAATGCTTTCTTCAGAGATCTGACCACCATCCAGCTGATGCCCAGCGGAGACATGGACCCCGGCCTGGTGTCAATACGACAAGAGGTGAGAGCTGGCGTTACAACGACGGGTCAACAGAAAAAGAAGATCTTAAAAAATAGGATTTTTCCTCATCTGCTTCCGACTCTTCTTCCCTCTCCGTACCCGTCCTCTAATCCCTCCTTCCTCCTGTGTTCAGTTCCTCCTCCGGGTGCTGACGGCCTGGGTGCAGGCTATCAACGATCCGTCCATCCCAGCCTCCAGCAACACGTCCCCCACTCCCCCCTCGAATGGCCCCAAGGCTGACTGGTGGCCCTCGCTGTGTCTGGAGCTGGGCTCCCTGCTGCAGGTCAACCCCGACATCCTGAGGAGACACCTGGTCTGTGAGCTCTACAGCCAGGGCCTGGACCCCCGCGCTGAGGAGGCAAGGGAACATGTGCTTTCCTTTGTGGCAGGCACACACTAACAACAAACTATTCTCCTGACCACAGGGCTTGATTCAGTCCAGTATCCTGCTCTGACTCCTCTTACCCCCCCCCCAGGTGATGCTGGAGGTGGAGGATAAGGACGTGCTGGGCTCCCAGCTGCTGGTGCTGACGGGACAGAGGCTGAGCTACTGTCTGCTCCACAGCCAGAGTCAGACGCAGTCCGCCATGGAGCTGCTGGCCCGCCTGCCCCCCACCCTTTGCACATGGATCAAGGCGATGGTGAGGCAACAGACAATGTCATCTTATACACTGAGGACATTTCTGACTGGACACTGAACCACAAATCTACAAATCAACCTTACTGTCTGCAGCTACAGAGCTATCAGACTACTGACATTAGTGAAAATAATTAAATAATTCAGTTTTCTCACTCAACAGGATTTATTTTCATTTTCCTTTTTAACCCTTGTGCATCCTATTTCTTTTTTTTATTGCTCTGACATCCATTAAAGGTCTAAAGTGTATATTTGTATTATTTTCGATTATCACCAAGTCAAATATTTTATATATGATCCTGAAAATCACCAGCAAATATTCATTTATTTTCGAATGTTTACCCTTTTTAAATAGCAGTTTCTTTACACAATGCCACTGTTTTATGGGAAACACAAAGAGTTTTGTCCACTGATGGTATTCTCCCTGATAGGAACACACACCATGTCGCCCTTATAGTCTTGCTGCCTGTTTACCAGCGTAATATTGATAAAGTGTTGTTTTGTCCTGTAGGACCCCAGTGAGCTGCGCTTGCCCCTCGTCCCCCTGTCCCAGACCAGCAGGCTGGTGGGCCGGCTGGTTGAGATCCTGCCGGAGAACCACGCCCAGTACATTCTGGCCCTGCACCTGCTGGAGGCTGTGGAGGCCCTCTCTGCTGAGGGCTGACCCCGAGAGGTGGAGGGCAGCACCTTCAGAGGCAGGGTCAGTGAGGGCAGGTGGAGAGAAGGAAATTAAGAAATAAAACAAGGTCTGTACCACATTAGGGTAACGAGAAAATATGATTAACGGCCTTCTGAACCTCTTTGTCATGGAGACTTTGTGTTTCGTCACTCGGCTCATGTTAATAAGATATCTTTGTTCTCACAACTTAATTGAAGAAAGATTAAGAGTGCATATTATAGCCTTTTAACCCATCATATTTTCCGCGCATGTAACTTGTATTGTGTTATTGAAGATTATTGTCTGGAAAATAAGTTTAAGGAATGGTTATTAATGGACAGGGCATGTTTGTCTGAGGAACTTTAGAGATCACATGTCAGTGTTGGTGTCCTAACTGTGTGCCATATCAGAGTTCAGTTCTCCTTCTTCCTTTCTCCCTCCCATGGACAAGAGATGTATCATAAAGAAATATGGACCTTATTTTTTATTTATATATGCAGACAGTACTGTACTATCTGTGCCTGTTTGTTTGTCTCCTATTCTGTAGTCTGTGTCATTGCAGAATAAAGAGCTTTCTAATGCAGTGTCATTAGCCGATCATTTCATTACTCTCATATCATGTCTAGAGATGAAACTCCATTTATTTATCATTTAGAGACTTTTCTTCCATACAGCATTATTGAAAGTGTGACCCTCATCGTAATGATTTGTTTACACATTACAAAAAAACTGAATAGCATCCCTTCTACAGCGAAAATAAATGTAAATATCTTCCAATTCCCATCTGTACATAACGGTAAACATTTCTCACGCTTATTGATTTGTGGTACAAGAACAAAGCTCATTCAAGGCCAGACGAGGGACCAAGGCTGTCATTTTGGTTTTAGAGTTCTCAACCTGCTGCTCTGGAACAAATGTAAGTACATAAGGCAGTGAAGCCTGAAACAGTGATCTTATGCGATGTTCAGGCCATTCCATCACAATGCCAGTCCTGTGTCTTCGCATTACTGACAGCAGACAGAAAAGCGGAGTGATGCAGATTTGGAGTCAGTTTTCTCTGCCGATTGTTAGACCTTGTCTAACGAGGAACTTCACCCGAAGCAGGAAAACAACAGTCGATAGGAGGTTTGCTGGTCGTCGTGCTGACAGGCCTGTCAGTGAGCCTGTGAGACGGCACTCTGGCAGCGCGGGCACAGGCAGTCTGCTGAGTCGGCGGTGTATCGACGGCATCGCGGGCAGCGGGCGGCAGAGGTGGGCACCGCGGCTATTTTGTAGGCACTGTCCTCTCGGATAACACCACCTGAGAGGACACACATCAGAAAAGGCATAGCTTATCACGTGTTGTACACAATGTTGTAGATCTTATCCACTATGGAGTGTATCAAATGTTGTAAAAAGTCAACATTTTGTTCTTAATAAAAATGCATTTAAAAACAAGTCCTAGTACCATTCAATAAAAAAAGAATTGTAGTATGGTATATCATTAAATATTCATTTAAAAAAGAAAACATTGTATACTGTAGTATTTCACAAATGTTTCATTGAAAAAGCCTTCAGAAAAATGGTATGCCATTATATTTCATCAAAAAGGTAATATGTGTTGTATGCCATATCGCTATAATTACATATGTTTAAAAAGTAAAATTATAGAATGCCATAAAAAAATAATTCACAGTGAAGTCTATAGTCTAAGCGGACGTTTGAACAAAATGTTAAGAAATTCCCTCAAAGCATGTTTCCCATTCATAATAAATTAAAATAACATTATGCCTCCAGCTACCCCTGTCACCAGTGCAGAACAAAACCTGCTGTTGGTTTCAATCTGATCCAAAAGGATCCAGCTGCATGGAACGTGTAAAACCTCTGTGCACATGAAATCATCCGCTCAGTGTGGATGTCCTCACCCTCCAGGTTGATGAGGAAGGAGCCGCTGCTCAGCAGGGCGTCTGAGGGCAGGTCCCGGGGCAGCACGCTGCACAGGTTGACCCGCGCCACCATCATCAGCTCCGCCAGCTGGGACGAGGTGGAGCTGGGATGCTCTTGCAGGGACTGGGGGTGAAGAGGAGGACTTTGAATTTATACTATCCCTTAAAAATAGACTGATTATATACATGAAAGAAATTGGCTTGCTAACAACATTTCACTGACCTCTATGAGTTCAAACAGCAGACCGGGCTCTACAGCGATGTTGAGGTCGTACTGAGCTGCGTTTTTGCCCGGAATGGAAGACAGGAAGGAGTCTCTGATGGCACACGCCCCTTCCACCGCCTCCTCCAATCCTGGGCGGCGCCACACTGAGCTGCTTTTGATCCAGCCGCTCTTAAATAATGTCTCTCCTTCTGCAGAAACAAATGTGGTTTAATGAATACTCTTGTTAGCAAGCAAACACTTAATATACTGTGTGGTTGTGATTGGCACATACCACCATGTCCTGGTGCGTGCAGATAGACCTCCTCAGCCAGGTGGGGCAGGATGGGAGCGATGGATCGGGTCACTCCGTCCAGAATCTCCTCTAAGGCAGTCTGACACGATCTCCTGCCCAGCGAGTCCTCTGGATCACAGTACAACCTAAATGAATCAGAATCAGGTTTATTGCCAGGTAGGTTAACACATACGAGGAATTTGACTTTGTGTTGTGGTGCATTCATTAAAAATTAAACAAAAATTAAAAAACACAGATAGAAAACTATTTCAAGAAACTTTAATAACATAAAACATTAAGAAAATATAGTACATAAAGAGGCAGAAATGAGAAAAGATGGAACAAGGAACAAAGCAGGACAAACAGATGTGCGAGTTTAGAAGAAACATGAAGGGATATTTTCAGTCTTGTGAAGTGCTTGGTATTTGGAAGAATGCTAGCACACTGAACAAGTTGTGTTCCTGTTGTGCCGAGCCTTTACCTGTCTTTGATGATGCTGAAATAGAAGCTGGAGAGCTCTCTGGCGATGAAGCCTTGCAGGACACGGATGGCCCGGCCAGCATCAAACTCAGTGTAGGCGTCCGTCACCTGCACACAAACACATATCAGTCAGCAGCTGAGGCACTTTGGACTGAGGTCAACAAGCTTTACACCTGAACTCACCTTGATGCTGTACTCGCGGAGCAGGTGCAGCATGTACTGGTCGATGTAGTGCATCTCTTTGGGGTCCACCGCCTGCACACGGGGGTCGAAGCCCTGCAGGTTGCCGAGCAGGAACTTCAGACTGTTCCTCAGCTGGTGGAGGAACAACAAAAAGGCATTGAGTCTCGTACACATGAAGCTCAGCACAAGTTCTTTCAGGAAGACTGGGTACACATTCATTCACTCCGCAGCTGCATATAATCAGCTCATCACAGGCGTTCTCTTTAACCTATTACATTTCACCTCAATCTCCAGCAGCCAATCATCGTGCTGCAGCCAAACTTTAAAATGGTTCTCCTCTCTCCTGCAGTCAGCTGTGATTTCAGGTCTTCATGCTGCAGCCCGCCTCCTCCCCTTCCACCTCCCTTCATCATATCCTGTGCCCAGGAGAGCTAATCCAGAGATCTCGTCACGCCTCCTCTTCATCCCATCTCCTCATCAAATCCTTCAACATCACCACCAGTGTCTAGAC